GAAATTAAAATTTTAATACAGTATTACTTAGTTAATTTTCATGATATTTAAGCATAGAATATATGCATTGCAGCTACAATGTACAAACATGCTAAGAGTTGGATGTATGACAACCACTTAGAAAATAAAGATTCGTCTGATAAATTTGAAGGTGGCGTTGAGGATTTCATTACATTTTCACGTGAGCATCCGACATATATGGATGGTGCTAAAATAAGGTGTCCATGTAAAAAATGTAAGAACAAGGCATATAAAGATCAAGAAGATGTTCGATGGCACCTATACAAATATGGGCGGGTTTATTGAAAATTATTATAATTGGACATCACAAGGTGAACCTATTCATCATGAACGCTTCATTGAACGAGAGAATTTATTGGCCGCTATGTCTGGCAACAATCCCACTCAATGGAATGATTATGAGAATATGAACTGGGATCAAAGGATGGTAAACGATGCTATTGGTGTGCATAATGTTCCAGAGCATTATGATAGCTCCCCAAACATAGATGATGGAAGTCCCAACGAGTCATTTTCAGCACCAACTTTAAATGACTCTCCAGATCGTTTTTTCCATGTGCTAGAATCTGCGGACCGACCTCTTTATGGATGTGGTACAAAGTTCTCACAACTGCAATTTGTGTCGAGATTAATGAGCATCAAGGCTGACCATAATTGGTCAGAGGCTAGTGTGACCGAACTCTTGTTATTGCTTAGAGATGCTCATGAAGGCCCTAACACCATCCCAGAGAGTTTTTATGCGATGAGAAAGTTAGTATCAGATTTAGGCCTCCCTGTCCATCATATTGACACTTGCAGATCGGGATGCATGTTGTTTTGGAAAGATGACAAGGACTTGCACCATTGCAAGTTTTGTGGAGAAGAAAGATACAAGAACCGGAAAGGTACAGGCGATGGTGAAACAGGTAAGTTGACAGCCGTAACCACGCTTCGATATTTGCCACTTGCGCCAAGGTTACAAAGACTATATGCTTCTGTTGTTACTGCGAGTGAAATGATGTGGCATAAGAATCACGAGTCACAAGAAGGCATGATGTGTCATCCATCAGATTCACCGGCATGGAAGCATTTTGATACCACATATCCTAGATTTGCTAAAGAGGCACGTAATGTTCGTTTAGGGTTATGTACTGATGGATTTGCACCACATGGACAATATGGTAAAAATTATTCATGTTGGCCAGTTATATTGACTCCTTACAATCTTCCACCTGGCATGTGCATGAAAAGTCCATATATGTTTTTAACGCTGATAATTCCTGGACCAAATAACCCTAAAAACAAAATTGATATATACATGCAACCATTAATTGATGAATTGAAGATGTTGTGGGATACAGGAGTTGTTACTTATGATGCCGCACGTAATGAATTATTTAGGTTGCATGCTTGTATTCTATGGACAATTAGTGACTTTCCTGCATATGGTATGCTTTCTGGGTGGAGTACGGCTGGGATAATGAGTTGCCCTATATGCATGGAGAATACGAGTGCCTTTTATCTAAAGTATAGTAGGAAGCCATGTCACTTTGATTGTCATAGGAAGTTCTTGCCTCTTATTAATCACTTTTATCGAAGGGATAACACGTCTTTTTTAAAAGACAAGATAGAGAGAAGTGCACCACCACCTCGTCTGAATGGAAGAGAACTTTGGGCGCGTGTCAGATCCATTCCATCGGCAATAGAAGAGCCTAATGAAAAACCAAGTGGGTATGGAGTAGAGCATAAATGGACTAAACAAAGCATTTTTTGGGAGCTTCCATATTGGAAAAACCTACTTATTAGGCACAACTTGGATTTGATGCATACTGAGAAGAACGTTTTTGATAATATTTTTAATACTGTGATGGGTGTAAAGGGTAAAACAAAAGATGGTTTGATGTCAAGAAAAGATGTTGCTTTGTATTGTAGTCGTCCTGAAATAGAGATTCAAAGTGATTCTGTGGGGCCTATAAATAAAGCCGTGTACACAGTTACCCATACGCAAGCCCAATGCATTTTGGAGTGGATTACGTCCCTACAATTTCCAGATGGATACATGTCAAACTTAAAAAGATGTGTGAACTTTGACGAGTCACGCTTAATGCATATGAAGAGTCATGATTGTCATGTGTTCATGCAAAGGCTTATACCTATAGCATTCAGAGAGATGCTTCCGCCTCATGTTTGGGGTTGCCTTACCGAGATTAGCATGTTATTCCAGACACTATGTTCAGTTGTTCTTGATACCACAACTATACAAGATCTTGAAAGGACTGTACCTATACTTATGTGCAATATGGAAAAGATTTTTCCTCCTGCATTTTTCGATCATATGGAACACCTCATTATTCACTTGCCATATGAAGCCAAGGTTGCTGGTACAGCACAATACAAATGGATGTACGTTTTTGAAAGGTATTTATTAAAATTTATTAAAAATTGTATATATATATATAAGCTTTTTGTGCAAACTAACATATTTAATGTGTATTTTGTATTGTAGATTCCTTCGAGAGCTGAAGAAAAAGGTGAAAAATAAAGCACATGTCGAAGCATCTATTTGTCAGGCCTATATAACAGAGGAGATTTCGACATTTGCGTCATACTACTTTGAGAGTCATGTAAGATGCAAACGACGACGTGTTGGAAGAAATGATGATGGTGGAGGTACAATCTCAAGGCGAGCTTTTTCAATTTTTAACTATCCTGGTAGAGGATCTGGCAAAGAGCATCATCGGTTTGTCGTTGGTGAAGAGTTACATATCGCACAAACCTATGTATTAGTGAACTGCCCTGAAGTTGATCCATATTTAAAGTAAAAAAATCATAATCTTTTTTATTTTCCTTTTAATGTGTTAAACTTCAAAAAGTCTAAGTTCAAAGATCACGAACAGGCAATTTATTGAAAACTTTCAAGGCCATGATGAAAGTGAACTCGATAAACGGATATCTTCTCACTTCGCACAATGGTTCAAAGATCTTGTAAGTTGATGTACCCATTTTGATATATTGTTCCTTGGTTGTCACTTGATAATGAAATATACATATATTTTGTTTTAGGTACATTCTCCTGTTAATTGTATTAGTGATCCACTTTTATCTTCTCTGGCTTGGGGCCCAAAATCCCGTGCAACTACTTGGCCTATGTATTTCATTAATGGATATAATTATCATATTGTTGAAAGGGGCTTGAATAAAGCAACATACAATAGTGGCGTGTGTGTCCGTTCTTCCAATTACGCCAATTCTGATACTGATTGGTATGGCTCTCTTGAGGAAATTATCCAGCTCGACTATCTTGGCCCACTGGGATTACATGTTGTCTTATTTAAATGTTCATGGATTGATCCTATTAGAGGAGTGAGGAAACATGACAAGTACAACATTGTGGATGTTAATTTCAAGTACAAGTACAAAGTGAACGAGCCATTTATTCTAGCACAACAAGCTGCTCAAGTTTACTATGCAAGTTATCCATATGTGAGAAAAGGAAGTGATTGGTTATGTGCTTGCAAAACAAGTGCGAAAAGGACATTGATTGAAAATGTGAAAGAAGATGAATTTGCATATCAAACAGATGAGTCAGATGCGGTGCCTCAAATTGAGCCGATTAACGCAATGCCTCCTTTGCGTGATCCGAGTGGTATGGAGTTGCATGTGGATCTTGAGGATGCCATTGAGTCTACTAATCCCGATCAAGATAATTCCGATGATGATGAAGGTCAGGATTCTGATGAAAGTGAAGATATGGACGTAGAAGTTGAAGATGAAGGGTTTTAGTAGTTGTTTTTCACTCTTTGAAATTAGTATAGCTATTCTATATACATTAGTTTGTTATTCTTTAAATTTTTTTAATGAAAGCTATTTTGCTCCATTTAATTGTCTTCTATTTACAAATCTTAATGAGACGATAAGCTTATTTTATTATCTCAGTCAAATTAATACAAAAATAAGAAAATTTGTACGATTTAAATCATATAGGACAATCACACTAAATTGGTCTGGTGTATTTATTTGAATGTGTTTAAGATCTCGAATGGACATAAACATAATTGATTAGACATAAACTAATCAAATGAGACCTAGGATGTGTTTACTTGAACCAAAAATTTCTAATCTGGTCTGATCTGACATGTTTATGTTTCGTCTAACATATTAAAAAATTGTATTACCTCCGTACGTTCCAGATTATTTTGCAAAGTAAACATTTTTTGGTCAACCAATGTTAAAGTTAAATCTTTCTTATTAATAATTAGTTCTGTTTTAATAATTAAAATTTACTTATTCGGAAACTAAACTAAAATTTCTACAAAGGTCCATAATCCAATTTAAAATTTAATTGAAAATTGATATCCAGATTAAGTGAATAAAATGACTCTAATTGATCTAAAAATCAATTTTTCAACTCAATTTGGAACGGAGAGTAATGCATAAATAAATAAAAACTCACATGCTCCGCATTTAGAGCCCGTTTGGTAGTACCAAAATCAGCTAATTTTGTTGATTCTGCTGAAATTTATGAAGTTCTAGCTGAAGTGGCTATATTGGCTGATTCTGCTGATTTAAGGAAAAAATATTTTTAAAACATATTTTATTAATAAAATAAAGAAAAAATTATATGTAAAAAATAGCTAAAATGATCATCTATAGTAACATAAGCCAATACAACCAGAAAAGTAACTTCAACCTTACTTTTTCTGCTTATTACACAATTCAGCGCGCGAAAACAAAAGTTACGTGTTTGGTGAAAAAGTTGACTTATAAGCCTGATAACCCGAAAAACAGTGCTGCCAAACGTATATAATTTTTTTTTAATCAATAAAAAACTAGCTTTCGATCTCCTTAAATGTATATTTTTTTTTTCATTTTTCATGTTTAATTTATACCATAAAAAGGATAAAATGTAAATCAAAATGAAATTCCCTTAAATAAATTCTCCCACTTATTTGAGATTTCAGCACTCCCTCCAAATTTTGCCAAAAAAAAAAGCACTCCCTCCAAATCACAATCCCACTAAACTACAAGTCTACGACCATCTCATGTGCCCATACTTTCCACTACGTCCTAAAATTTTTCCCCAACAACTATAGCCTACCGCCAAACGAAGAAAAACAGAGACTAGAAATCGTCCGTTCCTCTTCCACCTTGCTCCTTCGCATAGTTGCGTCTGAATGGTCTGATACATCCGCGGTCCGCCTTAGCTTCATCCACAACTCCAGACTTCGTGCTCAGCCGTGTCCCTCACGTCTGGACTCTCCCGTCCTCGCCACGCCGCGGCCCGCCCTAGGTTATTTCTCTCATCTTCCGAACTCCAAAGGCCGGTTGCCTATTTCCTTGTTTGGTAATTACTTTAAAATTGAATTCTTTTGATTACTTTAATTGCTTATTCACTTATTTGCTTTAATTACTTATTTTCTTTAAAATTGAACTAAAAAATATGATAAAAGTTTCCAAAAGTGATTAGTCGTTTAGGATTGATTGAGGTGTGCAGACGTTTGGGTTTTTATCCGGTTCAATTCTGATCTGTGCGTGAAGTGTATTTATGTTCTTTGCATCTCTTCCTTTTTGTAGTTTTACTTTACCGTATTGATCATCAAAAGGAAGGTGTTTCATAGTTTAGCTGAAGGTGTTCATGCTGTTTTACTTTAGTCTGCTTTGTAAACCTGAAATAGATCCTACGAAATCCCGTTGTTCTTGTGTATTCAGAGTTAGGAGTTCTCTTTCTCTGTGTTCCCGTGTTTTGAGATTTGTGTTTTCAAACCAAATATGCATTGCTTTAAGAAACAAATCTAAGAATAAAATTCAGGAGTTCTCTTTTTCGTATGCTTTAGGAAATTAGGACTATACTTACTAACACCAGTATTAGTAAGTATACATAATTGTGTCCATCCAAATAGTTAATAAGTTCATTTTTACCTTCTTATTCTGTTTTGGTGCTTTAGTATTTACTTTAGAATCTACTAAAGTATAAACTTAGAAAAACATTAAAGGGAATCTGGGTGTGTAAAAACAGAACCAAATGATTAATCATCATACTTATTGTGTGAAATCTAAGTTCCGTAATACACAATGATAATAAAGTATAACTTTGGAGTAGTTGCTCCATGTGGTTTTAGTATAGGTGGAGTCATTTTATGAAGAAGAAAGAATAAGGTCAAGTCATTTATTTAGTTATTCCATGTGATGCAGTTTATATTGATAACTGAAATGTGTGTCTCTGTGACAGAGATGTCATTTTTAATAAGTAAATAAAGCTGCTCTTAATTTAGCTTTTGTTTCTTTGTCTTTCTGTATAGAGAACTACAATATCATATTCATTGGCTATCATTATCGTTTCCTTGCTGCATCTTAAGTTTCTTCTTGAATCTTGATTCGTTAGTAACACTTGCGTGGATGAGGAGAAACCGTATGTTGCTTTCGTATTATTTTGATTGATATGGCTGTGGATCACCCATTCCTCTGTTGATTAGTGAATACAGTTGGAAATTAGAACAAGTCTAAAAGATTTTAGTACCATTATAATTGAATGGGAGCAATTTCTAATGTCTCTGGTGGTGATTATTAATGTTGCATTAAGGTCTAGGTAGTTGGAGATTTTCTCATGCCTCCTGGTCTGAACTAGCTTAGAACTAGTGTTTTTTTCTGGGGGTACAAGAATTAGGTATATTATATAGCTTAGGTATATTAGGTATGAGAATTGATACGGATAGATTATATTAAACCTGGTAGTGTCTCATTTAGTATATATACTTAAGATATTTTAATTTAATCGTGTTAAAATATTTGTAAGATAATTCTTTCAAACAGGACATGCGGACACGTGGTGGACGTGCTTTGTATGCACCGAATCGACATACCTCTCAATCTAAAGGAAGGAATAACTTATCATCACCCTCATCAAATGGTGAACGTGCTTTGTATGCACCAAATCGACATACCTCTCAATCTAGAGGAAGGAATAACTTATCATCACCCTCATCAAGTAGTGCTCTCAATAGATTTCACTACTCAAGTGGGGAGGTAAGTACATCACAAGTTCCAAGTACTCCTACATCACCGTGCGAATCGAATGGAGAGCGGTCTGTTGAAACAAATCTTTTGCCTTTCCCATTATCTGACATGCACAGGTTGGTTTATATGTCACTATATAATCATATAGTTAAAACTATTATTTGAGTCACTTATGTTTAACACATTACTTTTCTCTTCATTTCTACTATTAAAAAGTCGAAAGACTCATAGCGAAATCAAGGCAATCATGAGATCTAGTTTTCATGGACCATGGAGGTCTTATAAAAAAGTGCCTATAGCCGAAAGAGATCATTGGTTTGATGAATTCAGGGTAAATTTATTAATTATCAACTCATTTAATTATTGTGAACTTATTAGTCACTTAGTTAGTAGGGTACATAGTTTAAAGTGATTATGTATTTGCAGGTGACTCATATATTTCCGGACTCAACAAAAAAACAGTTCAGAGACTTATTTGACAAGTATGGTAGTCAAGGCCTTAAGAAGATGTTACAAGACGCACGATGTGCTAAAAAACCACCAAAATACATAGCTAAGAACGATTGGAAAGATCTTCAAACATATTGGGCTTCTCCAGAGTTCAAGAAACTTAGTGCCAAAGGGAAAAAAGCTCGATCTTCTGAATTGTGCAGAAACAATCCATACTGTGGAGGATCAATCACTACCTTTGATCATAGGAAGAAATTGGTAATTATTTCCTTGGTATTTAATAGCTAAATACAAACTTTGAATTTGTTTCCATTACTAATTTTATTTTTCTAGAGAAAAATACTTGGTAGGAAGGTTCTCATGAGGGAGATCTATGATGTGACATGGAAGAAGAAAAAAACCCGCGAATGGAGTGGCCCGAGGCTAAAGATGTGCTATGTAAGACAATTACTAGATATTTAATATTATGTTTTTGCTAAAAGTAAAATAATTACTAGGGATTAATACGAGTTGTCCGCCATTCATACTCATTGATAGAACTATGTATATTGTATGTGTAGTGTTGTGAATCATTAGTAATAATTCGTTTAAATAATTTGTTGCATGTTGTTTGATTTCAGGAAAATTTTGTAGCTGCAAGACAAAGAGCGAGAGAGAAAATTAGTGATCATTCACAACCTATAGATGAAGATGGAATCTTTCTAGAGCACTTTGGATCTCCCACGTGTGGTAAGATATTTGGCGCAGGGAGTCTTTTGAAAGAGGTTCAAAATAAACTACGTGGCAACACTACTACTCCAATGCATTGTGAAGATTTACAAGAGCTACTTGATGCACGTGTCAAAGTTGCATTTAGTAATACTATTCAAGACTTAGAAGGCCAAGTTCAAACCATAGTCCAAGCTGCCGTTGAAGAAGCCGATAGGAGATGGGTTGCTCGATTTGCTGAATATCGTAACTCTTTGAGCTTGTATAACCCCAGGTTTTCTATGGCAAGTCAAGTTGCTTCGACCCAGGCTCTAGCTCCAAATACTTCCACAACTCCATTCCAACAATTTCCATTTCCACAAATGACAACACAAGGCCAACCCTTCCCGAATGACACTATGACTTTTACTGATATGATGAATTTCGGCTCATCCTTGTTCTATACACCTTCTAGAAACTGATTTTTAATTTAGCACTTGTATTTCTCTAGGATGTGATGTTTTTGAATTTCTTGGTTTTTGTGCTTAGACATCGTCTTTAAATTCTTGTATCTCTAGAATGACGATTAATTGCTTTTAGTTAGTATTTGTTTACTTTGAAGTTACATATTCTCCATGTTCTATTAATGTGTATTTAGTTAATTTAGATTTTTTTAATTATTTAAACGTAATTTGCAGTTCCATCATGAAAGATTAATTTAATATAAAATAGTAATTAAAATTCCCCAAATAAATAGTAATTAAAATAATTATAAAAATGTAAATCAAAACTTTAATTTATTTAAAATTAAAGTGAAAAATATACTCACTCAATTAATTTAGTGACAAACATGGTGATAAAGATGTGGAGTGTCCGCACCATCCGGCAACGTGAGGGGCGACCGGGAGGTGTATAGTATGAATTTTGTTACCCATTTTGGCACCAATAATAGAGTGAGTAAGTTATTCACCCACATAATTAAGTGACAAATAATTTGGCACCTGGATTTGGCACTAGTTACTATAAGTGACTACAGTGGTGACTAAAATGTTTTGTCACCCGTTTTCTTATATTACGAGTGACAAAGATGGTGCCTAATCTCTAGTATTTTTGTAGTGTTTTAAATTTTCATTCATAAAGCTAAACAAATTGCGTCAAAAAGGTCAAGAATAATTACATATTTATGATTTTAAAAAGGCGGTAAAAAAGGTTGCAATAGTAATTTTAGTCATGTTCTATATTCAAGTTTTACAATTTATAAAAGTTACACTACATTGTTGTAACTTTTATTCCTTTTTTTAATATGTAAAAAAATTACCATTTTTTAAATAACTACATCTCTTAAGAGATTATATTTAATCATCATAATTGAGGCGTTTAAATGGGTATTAATACTATAAATCTAATGTATTAATTTTACCTTTTATATAAATTTTAACAGACATTGCTTTGTAGCTTTATATAGAAGTATGAGAGATATATTTTCTTGCTCTCATGATGGCAATCCAAAATTGCCTTTTGGTGAAAAAACGATTGTTTTTTGTGGAGACTTTAGACAAGTGTTGTATGTCATTCCTAAAGGCACAAGACAGGATATTGTTCATGAATCTTTGAATGCATCACATTTGTGGCAGTATTGTACGGTGTTGAAGTTAACAAAAAACATGACACTCAAGAACTTCACAAATGAATCGGCCAATACAAGTATTTTGAAGCTTTTTGCCGATTGAATACTTCAAATTGGAGAAGGTGTTATGGGAGGTAGCGATGATGGAGAAGCGGAAATTGATATACCCGAAAATTTTCATGTTCTAGTAATGTCTGATCCCATTGAATCCATTGTCAATGCTACTTATCCAATTTTTTTTTTAAAACATGAACAAGATCTCATATCTTGAAGGGAGAGCAATTCTTGCACTGACAATTGATGAGGTAAACAAGGTCAATGATTTCATGTTGGTGCAGAACAGCTCAGAGGAAAAGACATATTTCAGTTCAGATTCAGCGTGTTCCTCAACCTCAGACAATGAGCTCCTTCAGGAAATTCATTCTCCCGAATTCCTTAACGGCATAAAATGTTCTGGTGTTCCAAGTCACGAGTTGAAACTAAAACTAAAGTTGGTGTACCGGTGATGCTCATGAGGAATTTAGATCATTCGGCCGACTTGTGTAATGGTACCCGACTTTTAGTGACAAAACTTGGTGAACATATTATTGAGGCACAGATGATGTTTGGAATCAATGCAGGTGAGAAATTCCTTATCCCAAGGATTAGTCTAACCCCGATAGATGTGAGGTTACCTTTCACATTCATGCGTAGACATTTCCCCTTGATGGTTAGCTATGCAATGACGATGAACAAGAGCCAAGGACAATCGTTAGAGAATGTGGGCGTTTTTCTATGACGATCAGTTTTTACACATGGGCAGTTATATGTTGCAGTTTCGAGGGTGACGAGTCCATCAGGATTGAAGTTCGTGATATGCGACGATGAGGGAAATGGAAAAAAGACCGCAAAAATGTTGTCTACAAAGAAGTCTTCAATAATTTGTAAAACTGTATGCTTATTAAACTCCAAATATTTTTTTATTATGTATTCAGTAGTGGTTACTCTCATTCCCATGATGAATTATAATATAATTTTTAATTTTATTTAGAGGTAAAATGATTTTTTTATATTTATAATATTTGTATCTTACACCCCGTGCAATGCACGGGTGGAATATTAGTTCATTACATCAATGAGATTTCATACAAGATGAAAACGGCTTAAAACGGAATCATACATTGCCTATTTGGAGTCAAATGAGCGTTCTTTTCAAATAATGATTAGTACATATGATGTTTTTATATAATTATATTATTTTAGACTTAAATGAGGTCTAGATTCTGATCTATCTATTAGTGTAAAGAAATTACAAACAACATACATTGTTAATTTTGGACATTATAATGCTTAAGAATATGGAAAATGAAGATTAAAAGTACTCATATATCCATAAATATGTTTTTATTCTCAAGAGAACCTCTCCTATACAATAATCTTTATGTATGTAAAACAATATCAACAAAGAAATTTAAAGGTTTAAACTAACTAATTAAGGAAAGTAATTAATTAAGCAACTCCAATTTTGACCGCATCCTTCACCAAAGAAAAGCTCTTACTCCTCACTTGAGCCAAATAAACACATCTTTTTTTGGCTATTTCACTTTCCTTCCAAAACCGTCCACCAAAGGTAATCTTAGTCGTCATCCGAGGAGATGATATGAAGGTGGAGAACATAGAGCAAAACGGTGTTGAGGAGAAAGAAGAGAATGGTGTGAACCAAAATGGAGAGGGCGCTAGTATGGAAGGTCCCGAACTCAATCACTCTGTGCTTCCCCGAGACTTGGAAGAGAAGCCCCCGGGATAGCAACACGAACAGAATAACCGATATAATTGCTGGTGCCCAATCCGCCATTTTTATATAGTACAAAATCAAATGAAGCAATTAAATTCTCTATTCTCTTCTCTGTCTATATATAGCTATGGAGTAAGGAAGAAGATTGAATTTGAATGAAATTTATCAAAGAAAGTTGCATGGCATTGCATGCTGACCGAATTGCGTGGCAGGGCAGCGAGAGTTCTCGGCAGGCATACGTGGTAGGGTGGCTTCTACTAGACTATGTGTAATCACAATTCTAATATCGCCGAGTGTATGCAAATATAATAATAAATCAATGGGTAATACTCCATTCTAGATAATCTATTCTAAATTTAGATGGATAAGATACGAATTCAACATTTTTTATAATTAATCAAGGACCTATTTATCAACATTCACATCTTTTTTAACGATTCTATTGAATACCGATCGAGATGCAATTACTTATCCATACATACTTTTAATTTGGTGCATAGCAATCTTATATAGAAATTGTCATGTAATCGTTTACTTTATGTATGCATTTTATGTTTGTATGTGTGAGAATAATAAACAGGCTTAACAGATTGTATATTTATAATGAAATAACTTTCCAAATACAATTAGCATACTGACTAATAATTAATTATATACAATTACACCCCTCAATCAATGCAGAAGGAACTATGCGTAGATTGTCTCATACAAATAAAAACTGTTGAGGAGCCAAACTCATGGGAAAAAAATGTTAGCAGACAAATGGGTTTACTACGAGCATGCTGAATGGGTTTACTACGAGAAAAAAAATGTTAGCAGACAAATGGGTTTACTACGAGAAAAAAAATGATAATCAATATCAATGTATTTACTACGAGCATGCTGAATGGGTTTAGCAGACAAATATGAGGCAGATATAATATCACATAGGAGATAAATTGACCAATCAATAGGAAAGCCAAGCTCAAACAAAATGGACTGTATATGTAAAGTATCTTGAATCGTATACACAATGGCTCTATACTTAGCTTCACTGGAGAATCTGGAGAGAGACAATGAGTTACTTCTTGGATTGCCATGATATCAAATTTGGACCCAAGAAAACAGCATAGCTAGATGTGGAGCGGCTATTATCGGGACAACCAGCCCAATCAGTATCAGAGCACGCCAGAACGAAATGGGGATGTACTGAAGGCTGGCCATAGATGTAGTTCATGCGTGAGAGTACCCTGTAGGTACCTGAAAAATCTCTAACAGCCAACATATGTGAAGTACGAGGAGCATGCATAAATTGAGACACCAAATGTAATATTAGATCTAATCATAGTCAAATACTACAACGCAGCTACCAGGCTACGATACTCTGTAGGAGCTTGGTTCTATTAGGTAGCGGCGTGCAAACAGACTTAAGGGTACGAAGATGAAAACGAGTAAAAAGGTCTGCCACATATTTAGATTGGGATAAAAACAAACCAAAGGAATTTCGCATAGCCTGAAGCCCCAAGAAAAAATGAAGATCCCCTAGATCTTTCATAGCAAAATATTTCTCTAAAAGAGAAATAAAATGAATAATAAGAGAAGAGGAATTGTCAGTTACAATGATGTCATTCACATATAAGAGCAAATAAATTATGCGAGTACCCTGACGAAAAATAAATAGAGAATTATCAGCACGATTACACAGTACACAAAACAACGAGTCAAAAGAAAACTACTGAAATGATAAAACCATGCCCGGATTTAAACTACAAAGAAAATCTGGGATCATAAACCAAAACCTTAGCATTTAAAATAAAAATCATTTTTGGGTTTAAAAGTTTCTGATTTTGAGCTTGCTTGGGATGAAATTTTGGGCTAAAGAATGACTGGATACCGGAACATTACCTACATCATCACTCGTATAGTCGTATGAGGAGAAAACTCCGTCAAACCAGAGCTTGCCGGTGAACTTGGGGATGGTGTAGCACTCCCAGGTGTCGGGACTGGACTGAAGTCCACCGGTGAAGTATGTTGCGGGATAGAAGCTTCGTCTGCTGGCTGGGAGCTGTGTGTTGGCGATGAAGCGCAGCTGGCCAGAGAAAATGAACGGGGGTAGTGGCTATCAAGTAGTAGTGGAAGACAACGAAGATGAAATGGAGAAAGATAGAGGCCACATTTGCAAACTTGGCGACTCAGGAAAACTTAGAGATACTAAGTGAGTATAGGGAAAAACTTTTTTATGAAATCGGACATGTCGACTAACATAAAT